AGTACTCAATTATTTTGACTTCAGTTGATGATTATTGGTTCTGCAATTCTTGTAATCTATTTCATTGGCGTGGTGAAATATCTATCATCTTTGGAATGGGATGGTCGAGGCAATTCCCTACATCAAAGAAAAGGGTGGAGTGGTCAGTGGAGCAAGGGATGAAGAAGAACCATTTGAAACGGCCCGAAACCCGAGAAATGGACCCCTTCCTTGCCCGTTGATTTGCGCATTGATGCGACTCTCATCGCTGTGCCCTCTTCAACACTACGCTCTCTCTGCTATCTAATCACTCGCCACGTATAGACCTGCGGCGAGTGATTAGATAGTCGGTGGGCGTACCCCGCCAACCGCGCCCAAGAGTGAGCCATGCTAGATCGCCGAGGTCAAATCTTTCGCTTGACCTATTGCGTGTCGGTTCAACCCCGGGCCTCATGATAGAAGGTCCCGCCTGTCCCATAATGTATTTTCTTTCCCCTTCTTTAACCTTCGCTCTAACCTTGAATTCCACCGTTAAGGAGAAATGGATGTTGGTACCAAGCCTGTGCTAGCACATTCATCCCTGTCAGTATCGCGCTGGCCTAAAACTCCCTGACACCAATCCAGTGGACCACAGTCTAATGAGCCAAGCGCTTATTTCACGAAAATCTCCGAACTGCCCATGCTCGATGAATAAGCTTCAACTGTGGAATCAGGTCCTAAAGCTTGATGAGATGAACTATGATTTGGGACACCAAATCAATCATGTCTGGAGCGATCTGATTATGTATTTATGAATATAATGGAGGAAAAAACGCCGCTTTGTACTCAACTTTGTTTTAGGTTGCGTATCAGATGAAAATCTTCACCACTGCCTTGTTCATGTACTTTTTTCTTAGGAAAGAAGCTTTCCACTAATCAATGGATAGCTCTCGTTATCCTTGTTATAGGTAAGCTAAGGACTGTGTTGCCCCCTTCTCGAAACCACAAAATTCTAAGCGGTTCTTGTGATCTCCGGTTTTGTGCTACATATACGATAATACCCCTCAAAAAACAAAATTCTTTTCCCAATTGCCGTCATTGGTATAAGGCAACGGAAGCCTATTGGACGCTACCACAACACTCCCAGAACAGGGACGTAAACCCCTTCAACGCTTCTATGCTTTAATCGGCATGTCTAGTGCTTTGACTCACAGCTAGAGAGTAGTTTACTAGCGGGTAAACGCTTACGCCGCCAGTGTTAAGAAGTGAGTATGTAGCACGCGCTAATAGAAATTCGAAAGTCAACAGACATGCATGGGATGATTCGATGTGAAAATCCACTCCTACTCGATCGCACTTGATCCTGTTGTTTTGTACGGAGTTTGTGGAATGCTGAAAACATTGAACAAAAGCCGATTCTTGGATTCGTCAGTGTCGTCGTTATGTGCTTTACATCAGCGTTCGCCGGTACGTCACGCTTCAAACTTGTTTTTGATTGTTAATATAATCAGTAGCACAACAACCCGTGAAGCATGAGGTGCTGGTTCGTTGCCCGCCTTGGGCGAATATTTTCGCCCTCACCCGAACATTGTTGCAATGCAATGCAGGCTGTTTGTATACTACAGTACTTAGTGTAATTCTATAAGGCTGTAAGGAAAATTCTTGCCGTTTTCGACAGTTTAAGATTCAAGGCATTATTTCTCAATAAATTTTCTGTAGATTCTACATACTGCATGGTATTAGTAAGCGCGTTCTTGCTCTATTCGGAAGCGCTTTCACCTTTGTTCTAGAATGAGCTCTTCCACTTTTGAATGTCTTGCGCACGATTTTCTTCTCCTACCTCAAATTAGGGCAAGAAGGAGTGGAATCAGCTCATGTTATGATTGATTTGACCTTAAGTCTTGCGAAAAAGGCGCTATGCTGCAGTTTGGAAGGTTGTGTAAGGTTGGCGAAGCCCTCGAAGGTAGTTACGGTGGTCATTGGATATCGCACGGTGGTAAAAGTTGGCTGAAACACTTGATAGAACCATACGTACTCTTAGTTAGAAGTTTGCGGAAGGCCACTGCTAAATTAGGCAAGGCTGATCTGTGGCAAGTCAAATTGGAGAGGTTAAAGACGTACTCAAAGTGGAGTCACTCAAATTTTTCGCCTAAAAGTTTAGTATTTCTAAGCAACCGGCAACTAGAAGCTACCTGCTGAAAGGCAATGTTTTGACGACTGTGGTGGTGTACATATTTGTTAATTGGTGGCTGTAGTAGAGAAGAAAAATAAATTCGAAAAAAAGTTGACAAATGCGCAAAGACTTTTCCGGTAACCTAATAAAAAGTGACACAAATCTTCTGGGCACCCTAACAGTTGGTGATATTGGTATTGCTCCGACGTTGAAATCCATAAAGAAAAACGTCCAGAAACATTCTTTTAGGCGTGTACTTGGAAAAAATGCTCAAGGAGAGCACGACGTCTGTTTGGATGCAAAACATTCGACTGGCGCTCATCGGAATTCCGATATCAACCGTGTCAATGTGGTTCTATGATGGAAAGCAAATCTATGAAGGTAGATTTGTTCTAAATGCATTGTGAGCCTTCTTGTTCGAGTGTTACTCAAACGTGGTAGCTGTGTAACTTTTGACACAGGCGATGCACTTACATTCAGTCATAGCATTACTTAAAAGGATCCTCTCGGGGAATCCTTGCATTCTCCCCCTGATCACCAGAAACAGCATAAAAGTTTCGTGTACGAAGATTTGGATAAACAAACTAACAAAACCACACTCTATGGACAATCGAAGGTAGGTTGGCGCGGAGCCAAAGGCGGGGCATGGAAAGAAGTCCGCCTTGGGCGGCTACGTATCAGGCGACGCAATGAAAGAATCGGGTTAAGCGTGCGATTTTGGAGAGTAGAGACAAATCGATCGATAGAATAGGATGCAGTAGAAGTGTTAGATGTTATTAAAAAATATTTTTAGTGACGGCACCCCGAGCAGGGTGAATAACGGTCGAGGATTTCCTCGACCATAGCTCTCTACCATGCGAGAGTAGTGCCGAGAGTGAACATCCGCGCGGAGAGCACAGACGGCACGCGCATGGCGAGTGTGAATGTCCGCGCGAGAGATCGTGTCTGATCGGGCAGAGAATCCTCGACGTGCCGTTGAGGAATCCTCAAGCGATATTCACCCTGCCCCGAGGGTCGAGGGGAAGCGTTTCCGCGCTTGTGAGAGATGTACGGCGGGAGTTTGAGCGCGTAGCAGCCGTTCCGATTTTTTCGAGTTTTTTTTTGCCAAAACAAATGCAACCACACACTAATTTTCCCTGAAAGTCTTTTGATCGTCAGGTTGTTTGTATACATAAGATCTGGATAAAGTAGCTCTCATGGCTGATGAATGACTAGCTCAAATCCAAGGTGGAAAGCATAATAATACTACAGTGCGTTTCATAACTATAAGGTCACCCTAAAATATTGCATTTCCGGGACCAGCAGCCAACTGGTGATTTTCCACTATCACCAAATGATTCCCCACTACGAATAACCCCTGTATCGCAATTTTGGTGGGAGCAGCTTTTCTTCGAACTTTTTTGTAATTATTTTTCGATTTTTGCACCGTTTCATAATATAAGGTCACCCTGTGAAAATGAATACTACATTATCGGAAACAACCAACCTGCCTGTGAAATTGAATGTTTGTTACAAACACACCCAGTAGCTAAATTTATGGAATGTTTCGTACTCGCCTTTTGAAGAAAAGGTAAAGTTTATGCATTTCATGGTGCTTGGCACGGTTCGCGAGTCTTTCCAAAGAACTTCGGACAGTCATTAGCACTGCTCATGGATAATTGAAAAGCTCCTACGTCTCCAGATATTCTACAATATCAGAACATCCACAAAATGGTTTCTATAAATGATTAGAGAAGAGTTATGAGGGCTGTCCCGTGCAGTATTTCCGCTTCAAATCGGCGTCGTGCCTGATTTAAGGTTTCTATCTTGAAAAATATGAACTGGAGTGCGGTGAAATTATGCAACAACATTACCAGGAAAGCAACAAAGATGGTCCGAAGGCTCAAGTGGCCATTGCAAAGTAGCATCGCACCATATAGCAAGATAATTCCGGTAGAGTTGGTATTTTTGACAAAACTGGTTTAACTACAACGATCCTGAATATAACCTTTGGGAAGGACTTGCGAAGGTGGCCTTCGACTTCCACAAAATCACTTCAGCGCTTGCAATTTAGTGAGGAAGTTGAAAGGATGCTTGCGTCAAAATTTCGCTTCCATAAACTGCATAATGGACTCCAAAGATTAGCATAGAGCCTTGCGAGGACATTTGACCTCTTCCTTGAGCTGATGAAGTCGGCTAGCCTACGTGGCATACAGAACAGTACAGGTACCCATGTAGGTCATTCAACCAGAAGCAGCATTTCTCTCAAAACCCTGATATGTGACCTGAGCCAAATTTTCTTTATTTCTAGTTCGGATAGTTCTCAGAGAAAGAACTCTCAGGGGCATCTTCGTCATGAGTAATAGTGCGGATAAACGCCAGTTAAAAATTACACAAGAGCGTGTACAAGCAACCCTTGAACACGGAAGTGAATCGATGGTGATCTGCCTTGGGAATCTCAATTCCGGTAGGCCACGGAGACTATTCAATGTTGCCCTTGATAAAGGAGGAACCATACATTATTATGTCTATTTTATCTGTCATTAATCTTAGGTAATTGTTCTTTTCCTCAGGGTGACCTTATATTATGAAACGGTGCAAAAATCGAAAAATAATTACAAAAAAGTTCGAAGAAAAGCTGCTCCCACCAAAATTGCGATACAGGGGTTATTCGTAGTGGGGAATCATTTGGTGATAGTGGAAAAATCACCAGTTGGCTGCTGGTCCCGGAAATGCAATATTTTAGGGTGACCTTATAGTTATGAAACGCACTGTATAATACTACTACTGTTACTCGAGAGGTCGACCGAAGCCGCTGCACATCCATGCTTCTCCCCTTCTTTCGTGTACGGGCGATGAATGAAGCAATGCCGCCCAGCGGTGGGCAAAACGTCTAACTCCCAGTTTCTGGGTGCAACGCTCTTCGTCGGATGGAATACTCCTTGTTTCGTCGGACTGACAACTCCCTTGCGCACCCTGCACGAGAGGCAGACCTAAACCTCAGGAACCATTGAGGGGATGGATGTCCTTGTGGCTTCCCTAGAAAGCCTACTCATTCACGCTGCACAATTTGTGATTGGTTCAGAAAAGGAATAGGTCCCATCCATGGACTGTGAGCTTTAAGAATCACTCTACCAGTGGCAGAGATCACGGAAGCGAGCGATGGGGCTCCTGCTCAGGGTGAGGAAGGAATAATTATTTGGAATTTTATACTTCCTAATATGTGCTTTGATTTTCCGTATCGCAAGATAGCTCGCTTGTCAGTTCGACTAGCTGTTGATGTTTTCATCAGAATGAAACCATCGTCGAAGAGGTTATACGTAAATTGACGAACGTGTACTGATAGCCTTTCTTTTCCTTCTATATATTTCGTACAGCCTTCCAGTGTTGCTGGGCAACAGCTGTAGTGGTCCATTTAAAAACAGAGCCCAGGCGTAGCGGAGACAGTTTTAGTAGCAGCAGTTTGCCTTGGCGGCGGTTATAAGTCTGAGTAGCTCGATTGTAACTGCAATAGTGGCATGGTAAAAAGAGCAGTAGCGGCTCGTGTTGATGAAATTCCTGCCCGAAAGAAGGAAGCTTGTTTGGGTCAGCCTGTAGAACAAGTTCCCGCCCTGCCCCTAGTCCAACAACCTATGCTCCCTGGTCACCCCTCGAGTTCGACGACACTATCCGCCTCCGGTCTTCGTTAGAGGATTTTTTGTTCAGTGAACCTTTCCATGTATCACTTGTCCCATACGTACAGTACAGTTAAAGGTACACTCCGTCGTAGTGCTGTACGAATCCACCTGGAATACTAACACTTTACTGGTGTTGATGGTGCTAAAGTTACTAATTGCAACTGCCCTGCTCGATAGCCCTCAAATCCCCGTGACGCACGCTGCGGAGCCAAATTGGTAATGTATGGTAAGATTTCATCAGATTGCACTATTGCTAGGAATGACGTGTTTCTTTTAGACGGCTTTTTCCGCGGTTGGGATGCAATGGTAGTCTGCCTGACAATACTGAATTCGGTTGGAGGGCTGCTGATATCCATTGTCATCAAGTATGCGGACAACATTTTGAAGGCTTACGCACAGGTACAATTCGACTTTGACTAGCACAATTTCGAACACACTCCGAACTGAGTCGTAAACACCTTCTCAGTAACGAATATATTGATTACCAGAATACTAAACTAAAAAAAAAACTGTAAAACTTTGCATATTTGCATCGTGCGGGTATATGAGCGGCCACTGGAAAAAATACCAAGTGTTTCAGTCTCGAATGTAGGAGGATTCATACTGGCGGAGATATGAGGCGTATGCAGAATGGAAGGGTACTCAATTT